ACAAACACAGCACCCCCCGACACAGCATCCCCCCAGACACAGCACCCCCCCAGACACAGCCCCCAGACACACACAGCCCCCAGACACACACAGCCCCCAGACACACACAGCACCCCCCCGACACAGCCCCCAGACACAGCACCCCCAGACACACACTGCACCCAGACACACACAGCGCACCCAGACACACACTGCACCCAGACACACACAGCGCACCCAGACACACACTGCACCCACAGACACACACTGCACCCAGACACACACAGCACCCCCAGACACACACAGCACCCCCAGACACACATAGCATCCCCAGACACACACAGCACCCCCCCGACACACACAGCACCCCAGACACACACAGCGCACCCAGACACACACTGCACCCACAGACACACACTGCACCCAGACACACACAGCACCCAGACACACACAGCACCCCCAGACACACACTGCACCCAGACACACACAGCGCACCCAGACACACACTGCACCCAGACACACACAGCGCACCCAGACACACACTGCACCCACAGACACACACTGCACCCAGACACACACTGCACCCAGACACACACTGCACCCCCAGACACACACAGCACCCCCAGACTCACACAGCGCACCCAGACTCACACAGCGCACCCAGACACACACAGCGCACCCAGACACACACACCGCACCCAGACTCACACAGCGCACCCAGACACACACAGCACCCCCCAGACACACACAGCTCCCAGACACACACAGCACACTCCCACACATATACAGCACACACATATATATATATATATAAAATAACCCTCAGTGAGTTAACAGACAAAATTAGAAACCTAGAATGTGACAGCAGATAAAAACACCCTCACACACAGCACCCCTCTTACATACACACACTGCGCTCCTCACACATACTATAAGTCCAAATATATATATATATATATATATACATACACACACACACACACACACTACAGCACCCCTCACACTGCACCACTACACACATTACGCTCCAGATACACACTAGATCCCTTACTCTATATGCACTCTTTATCCTCTATACACACACTGGGTCCTTTACACAGTAGATCTCCTACACACACACACACACACACTACATTCCTTGTCAGCAAACACATACAACATTCTCTAAACACACCCTCTCTGCAACCCCTACACACACTACGTCACCTATACACACACACTTCAGCCGGTATGCACACACTCGCTGCATCCCCTATAAAACTATGCCCCCTATACACACACTCTCTACAGCCCCTAGCCACACATATTACACCACAAACACAAATAAAAATTGACCTATTTACACAATACCACACCACACTCTACACACACGCAATCCCACAAGCAGGCTCCAAACATATGCACCATGCACTTTCCATTTGTCCTCTGGTATCCCACTTGTGGAGACACCAGAGACAATTTAAAAGCAAACACAGCACAAGCATGTTATTTCATTTGCTTGCGCTGCGCAGAACAAATTCAGGGCCTTTTTCTAATTCCAGAGCTCTTCAGCAGGGCTCTGGGCATTGAACCAACATGCTCACTTTGAGAGGGGGCGTGTTGTCATTAGTGATGACAAAACACACACTCTCTGGCCCCGCCCCCTTCTTAGGGGGCCGCTCTGATTGAAAAATGCCCGGGCCTAATTTTTTTCCCAGTCCGGCCCTGATTACTGGAGAAACAAAGATCTCACTTAGTATCTAAGACTAACCACTTTTGTGTGCACCCAGCCTTTTAAAACACTATGGCTGAACGTCTGGCTTCAGTCACAGTCCTGGTGACATTATTGGGGATTCCCTATGAGAGAGGGACACCCTTGGCATCTAAGAAGTCTCTATTAATGGATTTATTTAACCAATCATTGCTAACAGGAGTAGTCCCAGAAGATTGTTAATTATTGTTCCCATTGGTTTGTGTCCCTTTTGTCCCTGTGTACCATCAGGTCCATGTGTATAAAAGAAATGCCTTTGTGCTCATTAAACAGACCTTCTTACCCTCAACTCGCATCCTTGATTTGTGTTGTAGGGTACTGCTATATCACACTGGGGATTGCTATACGCTGTATACTCCCCTTGATGCTAATCACTAGCTCTTGTAAGAGCTCTACAGCTGATACTACTTCGCTCTCTGAAGGAAGAGGGGTTCACCCACTGGAGCCTGGAGCCTTGTCGTAGGTCCAGGGTGGGAGACGGCGAGACCCCAACCAAGCTGCTGCGGTTTGTGGGGTCTGCTCTGCTTATGGTGTCTGGTGCAGTGCTGATGGTCCTTGGTAAGCACTAGGAGCATCCTTCGATGGTCCAATCCTCAGGGGTGGATGCCAGGAGGGAGGACATTAGGTCCCTCCCCTTTCTAATTTAGGGCCCCTACCCACCGCTCAGGGCTGGGGGCCAAGGGGGAGGACATTAGGTCCCCCCCAATTGGTATTTAGGTCCCCCACCCACCGCTCAGGGCTGGGGGCCAGGGGGGAGGACATTAGGTCCCCCTCCTTATTCTAATTTTCATGTAACTAAGAGATAATTGAGTCATCTAAAATTACTAGCTTAATTATCTCTCAGACCCAGTGCATCTTGGCAAAATTCCCTGTAAACTTGTCCTGGAGACCCCATACTATGGGGCTGTGCATAGAAAGTTGTGTGTGTGTGTGTGTGTGTGTGTGCTAATAAAATCAGTTGACTCCCAGAAGTCTGTGTCATCCAGTTACTGAGGAAATGGGCTATAGCTACTAACCAACGCGTCCCTTCCAGCTCCAGAGGATTACAGTGGTGATATTAAAGTCTCTGCATTGCAGCTACGCTACACTTTCAATAACTAAATAACACTGGAGATAACTTTTGTTTTGTCACCAACACACCTTGCTCCATCTCTACAATAGTTTGATTTGAAAAAAATATATTTTCTGACCTCTTTAAAAGTATATTTTCTGACCTCTTTAAAAGTGGAACCAATGTTCCCTGCATCTAGACACCACTACATGCCTGATCACTAATGTGAAAGTTTGCATACTGTGAAGAGATCAAGGGTGGACTGATCAGTTGGGCACTAAGTCCCAGACCAAAGGGCCCACCAGAGGTGGCTTACTCAGTGTGCCGCCCGGAGCAGGGCACCTTCACACTTAGCCTGTCATGTCCTAACACAAGGATTGTCAAGCCACAGCTAGCAGTGTGCATGAAGTTGTCCACCTTTATACAGTTATGCATGTTGTCCCAAGCAGGAAAGCTAGAGGTTGAGCAGTAACAGACTCCGGTATGTAAAGTTTAGCCTTTCAATTATTTCTGTATTTCTTAATCTAAAGGAAGGCAAAAACCCAAATTTGGCAACAATCTTCAGAAAATCTCCATCTGTATTGTTTCTTCTACTGTAGGTAAAAATCTCATTTATACAGGTCTAAAACCTTGTGTCCTTTGCACAGTTCTATTAACAAACAGGTTACCATAAATATATATTTGCAAACTGTTATCATATACCTTCTCCCGTAAATTGGACTAGGCCAGATCCTCTTCACTATAACTAATTAACGTGTTACTCCAACCACCATGACCACTTATGCATTTAGAAGTGGTCATGGTGGTAAAAGTCTATATGTTCAGTGTTCTTGCTTGAAAAAAAATATGCATTGCAGAGATTTTTTGTTGTGCCTGTGCTAGTTGCACCCCCAGCACAAATTATGCGAGCAGCCCGGAACTCTGCCCATTTTTAATTCTTTGCAAATATTGCATCTGTGCATGCTGGTGACAGGCATAGTCAGCTTCTCCCTTGTAGACAGGGCCAGCGTGAACGCTAGACAAATTAGGCAGCTGCCTTTGTGTACACAATGTCCGGGTGCCTGGCAGCTGTCAAGTGCACAGCACTCCCCTCATGCCAATCAATGCATGTAACATGGCCGAGCAGACCGCAGGTAGAGGATCTTCTGTATTCTCTACCAATTCTGACAGAAAGCTGCTTGATGAAAACAACGAACAGCTTCAAGTCAGACCGGATGGAGGAAAGAAAAGATCCTCTGTGGACATCCTGGTTACGCTATGTGGAGAGAGATGAGCAGGCACTGGGGGGGACCATGAATGGCTGGAGGGCAGCAAAAGACCCACAAAGGGGCTGAAGGGAGAAGAGAGACACACTGTGTCTAACGTGAAAGTTTGCAGACTGTGAAGGGATCAAGGGTGGACTGATCAGTTGGGCACTAAGTCCCAGACCAAAGGGCCCACCAGAGGTGTCTCTCTTCTCCCTTCAGCCCCTTTGTGGGTCTCTTGCTGCCCTCCGTGTAGAAAGAGACACACAAAGGGTAGTGGGCAGGGCCGGACTGGGGATTCAAGCAGCCCTGGAAAAGAAATGTATGCCAGCCCCATAAGTCATTGCGCCATATATTGTCGCATGTAATACGTAAGGCTATGTCTTGCCACCCCAGATGATTAAGTTATTTTTTTATATATATATATATATATATATAAAACAAGAGGGGGTTGGCTGCACTCACCTTAACATGCATAAATGGGGGTGCTGCTGGGGGCCAAATAATACAATACACAAGATCCAGCGCACTCACCTATCCACTAAACAACAACTTCAATGTTGAAAGATTTTATTTGTTTTTTTAAAAACACCTAATCTAGGCAAAAATAATGGGGGTTTAGTTACATTATATGATCATACATTGCATAAGCCTGCCACAACGTCAATGTACCCCATCTTTGGCAGGTCCTACACTAACAGCCAAAGTTGCTGTTTAGTGGATAGGTGAGTGCGCTGGATCTTGTGTATTATATATATATATATATATATATATATATAATATTGCTTTTTCTAATATAAAATATTGGTCCTTTCAGAGTAAAACTTTAATTATACAGTAAGCATACTCACATGCAGACACAGAAAATCTCACTGACACACACAAGCTCATTGATACACAGCCCATAGACAAACAATCTCACTGATATACATAAGCTCATTGACATAAAATAAGCTCACTCACTAGCAGGCGCGCGCGCACACACACACACACACACACACACACAGCGCTTAATGTCTTAATGTTGATTCAATGCATCTCTATGAGGAGATGCTGATTGGTGAAGCATTTTGTAGCCAATCCTATGGCAAAGCATTGGATTGGCTAGGAACATTAAGCTTGATGATCTCAGCCATAGAAGCAGGGCCAGTCGAGGGGAGACCAGCAAGCCATGTGGGAAAACAAAGGTGAGCAAAAACACTATTTTTAAACACACATATACACCATGACAGACACAGAAACACACACACCATGACAGACCATGACACAGACAGACCCACACAGACAGACACACACACACACCAAGACACATATATACCATGACACACACCCCATGACGGACAGACACACACCCCATGATGGACAGGCACACACACCATGACAGACACACACACCCCATGGCACAGACAGACACACACACACCATGACAGACAGACACACACACACCATACAGACACACCGTGACACAGACAGACACACACACATAGACAGACAGACACATACCATGACACAGACAGACAGACACCATGACACAGACAGACAGACACACAAACTCACACTGACACACATTACTACTACCTGCCAGGGGGTTGTGCAGGGCAGACTGAGTTGTGATTGCGGCTGCAGGGGAAATGATGTCATATTCCGGCCGCGGTCTCATCTAGTAGCGTGCGAGGGCCGGGGAGCTGAGACAGCGCAGCTCCTCCAGCACACCCAGCTGTTTGCCTGGCCCCAGGTGCCGACGGCCCACCAGGAAATTTCCTGGTATCCCGGTGGGCCAGTCTGGCCCTGGTAGTGGGGACAAATAGATACACAGAGTGGCTGGGGGGACAAAGAGGTACAAGGACTGACTGGAAGGCACCAAGAGAAACACATAGTGGCTGGAGGGGAGAAGAGAGACTTAAAGGGGCTGGGTAGTAAACCAGTTTTTAGCAGGTATTATAGCAAAATTTAGGGCAGGCGACTAATGAATCATACTCAATTGGGCATTATAAATAAAAAGCAGATGTTTTCAAAAAAAAGTTGGGGTAACTATTTTTCTTAGATTCAGACGAGGCTGATTACACAAGATTTGTTCTTTCAAACATACCCTAAAAATTATAACTTTGTACATGTAGAAATAAGTCACAATGTCGTTAGAAAGTTTCTCTCGACATTCCAGACTCCCCCCGAGCACGTTGGCCAAAAGCGCTGTTCAGCCCCTTAATTCTTTTCTTCTTAACAGCAAGATTTACCAGTTGATGGGCAGTTTGGTAATTCTATCCCAGCATGGTACTGTCCTGAGCTGAAAAGTTCTGCTCCTCAACCACACAGTGCTTGTCTACCCGTATGTTAATCTTTTGCCTGTATCCTTTATTAGGTCCGTAACACATTTAAGTTATGTTGTTGTTAACATGTGATATGTGATTTTGCTCTATAAAATAATAAAACCCCCCCCCAAATTTTATTCAGTTCCTGAGTTCATATTTTGTCTAATAATCATCCGTTTCAATCACATTACTCCACCAATGAATGAAATTGGTGTTAACACAATTTATTTCATTGGATTCATATACACGTTTATCATCATTTAATATATTTTGACATTCCTAATATAGATCAGTCCAAAAAAATATAGTAAAGGTGATCAGGGAGAGTTAGGACAAAACTTAAGTTTATACAAAAAAATTCAATCTCTTGAAAAGTTTATTTAAAAAAAAAATATTAAATGGAAGCCTTTATTTTAGTGCTATTTCCTTTTCTATCCATGTCTACGGGTTGCCTTAATGAATGAAAGGTCTTTTCATGAGTATGTTAAATATTATGAAAGGAAAATGAGCAGGGTCTGTGTGCTCGCAACCCTGTCTTCCAAAAATGTCAGGTTTGGCAATATGTCTAACTTTGATCAAATTACCGAGGAAGTCGGCAAATAAGCAGTGTGCAACTTTTTATAAACTCAAGTAATATCCAATTCAGGGGATTGATTCAACAATTATATTTATATAATTAACTGTGTGCATTATTGTGAATTTCAATTTTTTTTTTAACATTTAAAATTAACTTTTAATCACCAACAACTCATTGACTTACCCTAATAGTGGATAAACTTGATAGTTTTAATGAGCTGATACTCTGTGAGAAAAACCATACCTTGACAAATCATGTCTTGGGAACAAATCCAGACGACATCTTGAATTTACGGTTTGCCCTTAAGGGGCACTCTACTGCCCAGATACAAATACTACTACTAATAAATCACTGTATAGTATAACCCAGATGAAAACAAGCAAGTATTTTACTATGCACTTTTTAATTGGGGGTATGTTCAAAAACAATTGTAAAAGCTGTTGATCTCTTGTCTGTAGTCTGTAAGCCCTCCCCTTCTAACCCCGCCCAGACTTTCTGTGTCTGTCCAATCACAGAATACCCAATGCAGCTCAATGAGAAGTCTTTGCAAGGCAGGTGCTCTGGGTTTTGCTCCACTGAGCTAATCAAACCAGGAAGTAAAAGGACCAGCTGTTTATTTACATAAGTGTCAATTTCTATTGTACTTTTTGTAAAGTGAAAAGAAAGAGGACACTCTTCACGCATAAAACACTTTAGTGCTTTAGGGGCCTGGCGTGTCCCTTTAATGTTTGTATACCTGTTCTGCCAAACATAATGGAAGATTTCTGGAAAGAGTCTTTTATTTCTGTGTTCGATTTTATTTTTATATTTATTAAATTGTTCTAAACATCGACCAAAAAATGTCTGCTTTTGTCTGCCTAAATCCCACCATTAATAGCAGAAAAATCCATTTCACAAAAGACCACTACATTCAGAGTGGTGGAAAAAAGAAGTGATGGAAAGATCGATTAGTCTTTTGCAACATCAAAAAAAATGGTAAACATTCAAAAAGACTACATGTAATACTTTGATAGATCTCCCCCATTATGTCCATTTCTACCTCGGAACCCCCTGTATATCCCCCCCGACAATCTCGCTTGCCTATCCATCTGTGCCCAGCGCATTAGAGCTGAGAGAGAGCAATCATTCAGGAAATTATTCTTATCCCTCCGTGTAGCGGATGGCATTGGGCTGTCCTAAAAATTACAGTTATTCCTATGTGTTCGGTTGAATTGTGACCTATGTATGTGAAATATATGCAGCATTCACTTATTATGAGAGTGAAACTACCGAACAGTCAGACCACCCCAGTAGTAAGTGTGCCTCCAATTACCGTTTGCAACAATGTTGCGAATGGGTAATTGGCAATTCGTGTAGTGGGTTCTTTGTTCCATATTAAACTCCCGAACAGCAGTGTTTTGCCGTCGAGTGTC